CTAACTGATCAATTGACTTTGTAACAATACACCCTCCCCACCCTTGGGATAATGTACTTTGTGATATTCCCCTGCCTTTGTGAATGTACTTTGTATACCATACCCTCCCTACCCTTGAGAAGGTACTTTGTAATATCCTCCCCCACCCTTAAGAAGGTACTTTGTAATATTCACCCCACCCTTGAGAATGTACTTTGTAAGATCCACCCCCTGCCCACAAAAAATTGCTCCTAACTTCACCGCCTATCCCAAACCTATAAGAACTAATGATAATCCCACCACTCTTTGCTGACTCTCTTTTTGGACTCAGCCCACCTGCACCCAGGTGATTAAATAGATTTATTGCTCACACAAAGCCTGTTTGGTGGTCTCGTCACACAGATGTGCATGACAAGAAGAATATAGGTAGATATTTCAAATTTTTTAAAAAAGTTGATACTTCATCTTGGCCTCAAAAGATGGGAGGAATTTGGATAGATGAAGGGAAGAGGGGAATGATATTCCTGGATAGAACAACTGAATTAAAGTGGAGAACAACAATGACCTTTGGGGTCTGGGAATAATGGTATACATGACTGGGCGGACAGGGAGAAGCCAGCCATAGATAGGTTTGAAACCCAGGCAGAAAAAGTTGAACTAGAGGTGACTGGAATTAGTGAATTGCTGGGTGTGAATATGTGTGTGCATGTGTGCGTGTATCATTTGTAAAATTAAAGAAATGTTTTTTCCAACCTTATCATGTAGATGAAATGGGATAAAGAGTGTAAAGCACTTATTCCAGTTCCTGGCCTGTATGAAGCAGTCACTAATTAGTAGCCATTATTACTACATTAGTGGTAACAGCAGAGAAAGATTTGCCTTGAATTAAAAAAATATTTTATTTTTATGTGTATGAATTTATGGGGTACAAGTGTAATTTTGTTAAATGCATAGATTGTATAATGGTAAAGTCAGGGCTTTTAGGGTATCCATCACCCAAATCATTGTACCCGTTAGGTAATCTCTCATCATCTACCCACTCCCACGCCCTCACCTGTACAAATTTTCATTGTCTATCATTCCATTCCCTATGTCCATGTGTATATATTATTTAGCTCCTACTTATAAGTGGCTTTCTGTGTCTGACTTGCTTCACTTAAGATAACTTGCCTTGAATTTTTAATTTGGACAAATAGACTCATTCTGGGTTATCTATACCAGGTCTATCTAATTTGTCTTTATAAAGTTTAATATAGTTTAATCAATAATACTATCGATGAAGACAAACACCTAGGATCTTACATAAAAATGAGCAGACCCCACATATACTCCAGCAAAGAAAATGTGTTATTTTAATGGCATCACCATTGACAGAGTTAAAAATAGTCACATGAAAAAGTTTTCAGACTACTGACTATTTCATTAAAAATGTGCTATTTGCAACTCTACTGAATCCAGTTATAGCCTTATGATTCCCCATGGAGGATATTTCACTAAAACTCAGTTGGTATAAAAACAGGCATTTCCCAGAGGGATAAACAGAGAAGGCATAATAACCTCTGTAAGATCCTCTATAAACTTCAAAGGTATGAGAATGCCTGGAAGGTTTTTGTTTTGCTTTGTTTTGTTTTGTTTTTGGTGATGATAGGGGAGGCAGAGTATAAATAAATTGTAACTCAAGAAGCTTTCAGTTCTTTAACATTAAAAAATCCATCTTAGTGTACCAGTATCATTAGTACTATATATTCCACACTAACTATTCTTCAAGCTGTTTATATGAGTTAATGGTGCAACTTATAATTAAATATTATTCTAGATGAAGAAAACAAGGCCAAAGTTCTAAATAAGCTAGATGTGGACGGAGAGATCTGAGCCACAGGGCTTCTGTAGACAGAAGGACTAAAAAGTTTAGGAGGAAAAAAAAGAGGAACAGAAAACAAGAGCAGAGGAGAAAAACATGATTCAAGTCCTTTGAAGATTTTAAAGTCAAGAGTTTAAATTTAAAATAAAATAGAAGCCAGTTAAATTCATGTACGCAGTTTGCATTATTGATCATGTCCACCAATGTAGAAAACATTTCTTTTGTGCAACAGCTTGGACCTGCTCCATCTAATTAACAGAAAGAAAGGTCATACACACACACAGGGAAAGGCACTACTTTTGTTGCTGAATAGCTGGGTTAATCTTTTAACAAAGTCTTATATTTTTCTAATTCCCTTTGCCCTTAAACCTTGGAATTAACCACACTTCCAGTCATGTGTTCTCTCCTCCTCATTTCCCTTCTACTTTTCCCTCTGTCTGGGCCTGCAATTCCAGACATTCCATGCTACCTTCCACGCCCCTTACACAATCATCCATCCTAACTACAGCTTTGTGGACACAGCCACCCTTAGCCTGTGGTCTTTGCAGCCTGCTGCCAAAACCCTTTCCCACCTGATGGCCTTTATGCAACTTGAGGCACACACTGAGTTTCTAGCAACAGAATTAACTTTAGGTGAAAGTGCATTGAGTTTATTTTTATTTATTTTATTTTATTTTATTTTGAGACAGGCCTCACTGTGTCACTCAGGCTGGAGTACAGTAACACTATCGTAGCTCACTGCAGCCCCCAACTTCTGGGCTCAAGGTGAGGTAGGAGAATAGGATCTGGAGGCAGGGCACTTAAGGCCAATTCGTGCTGACTTCCTAAAGCTGAATCAAGGAAAAACATCAAGGTCTGGGGGCAGGGAATCTGAGGCCAATTTGTGCTGATTTCCTAAAGCTAAATCAAGGAAGAACACAAAGGTCTGGGGACAGGGAATCTAAGGCCAATTCATGCTGACTGCCCAAAGCTGGGTCAAAAGGGAAACACCTGGGTCTGGGGGCAGGGAGCCTAAGGCCAATTAACATCAACTTCCAAAAGCTAAACCAAAAGGAAAGACCCCATCTTCCCACACCAAGTAGCAAAAGTTCCAAGGCTACTCTCCCTGCAACCCTCCCCCTTTCCCAGGGCTCAGATGGAAAGGGAGAGTGCCTTGGATTTGGGCCAAGTGTGGGCCATCCCTTCATCTTCATAGGGTGTCAATTCACATCAGCCTTTAATTAGCCACGGACAAAATCCTTCATTCAGGTAAGGGATAGCCACTGGGGACCTCATAAGGCATACTTAAAACCCAGAAAACGTTGCAACACGGTCCTTATTCAGGGTGGGTCCACTCCCACACTGTGGAGTGATTTCTTGCTTTAATCCCTGCTTTCGCTGTTTCGTTTGTGTTTCATTCCGTTGTTACTTTGTGCGTTTTGCTCAATTCTTTGTTCAAAACACCAAGGACCTGGACAACTCACGCTTGGCCTTCCTTCTGGTAACAAACGGATTGTCTCGCCTCAGCCTCCCAAGTAGCTGGGACTAAAGGGGCACGTCACCATGCCTGGTTGATTTTTAAATTTTCTGGAATCCTCCTGCCTTGGTCTCCCAAAGTGCTGAGATTCCAGGTGTGAGCCACCATGGCTGGCCTGCACTGAGTATTTTGAGTGCAAGTCACTATTTGCCGTTCCAATTGGCAAAGTATGCCGTTCCAAATGACAAGCTATGCTTATTGGGCATTTTAGTTTACAGTATAGATATTCTGAGACACAAGTGTCAACTGTTGCCTTTTCTTGAGGACAATTAGCTAAAAACCAGTTGTGATCAGTTCATTTTGGTTTGTCTGGACCAACTATTTGCTCGAGTGGAAGGAGCCTGCCTTCAAGCTTCCAGGTCAGTTACCTCTCTGCAAGCTCTCCAGCCCTGCCATAAAATGAAACCCTTTGCAATAGTTGCTACATCATAGCTTGCTTGACATCTGCTTTCCTGAGCTTGCTCCAATTGTTCCCTTCATGGGGTCAGGTGAAGTTCACGTTGCATAGGGACGAGGATCTAGGTATGGTTTCCATCTCACTGGGGCAGCAAGCAGATGCTGAGCATAGAGGACCTGGGTGGTGGCTACACAGTTGCAGAGCAGCCATGACATGCTCTTGGAAACAAAAATAAGTGTTGAGCACTGAAGTATATGTAAAAGTACTTTTCCCCTTTGAATCAAGAATATGATCATGAACCTTAGCAAAACAAAGCAATGGTGCTGAGTCTTCTGACCCTGAACCTACTATTAAATTGGGCTAAAAGGTTTACAGAGCAAGTAGATTCATTAAAACTGTTTTTTTGCTATATTCTCTGTTCTGGCTTTGTCCCAGAGATTTCCAATGCTTCCAGCAGCTTTGGAGTGAGTAACTCTGATATGTTTGCATCTGACTTCTGACCTAAACTTTAGTGTTATTTTCAGCTGTTCTTTGACACGGAATCCAACAGCTGCTGTTTAATACCACAGACAACTTGGGACACAGGCTGAGTTTCTAGCAATAGGATTAATCTCCCAATGTGGGGCACTGATTTGAAGCTGGCTATAATTTTCCTGCACAGGAGGTGGGGCTAGGGAATAAAAATCAAGCCTGAATACAGTACAGTGCTTTCCTTTTTGTTTTTGTTTTTAATTGCAGCAAAATATATGCCTTAATAACCTTTAACCACACCAAAAAATTTTCTTGCTGCAATTAAAAGGGAACAGCAAAGCATTTTGCTTTCTCATGGTGTTGATAACTGAACTTGAAAACCCTGTTCAGTGGAGCAGAATAGTCACAAAGAAAATCTCAAATGATAGGGACCTATTTATAAATGCTGGTTGAAATATTTTTACAAAATTCCTAAGAAATCTGAGGCTCTGAGAAAATGTGGTTATTCCATCTAAACTTCATTTGGCAAAGAACAATAAGTTTTAGAAAAGCAGGTTAATCTAAAACTGTCTTTTAAGCAATTTGTGACTTAACCCCAAGACAAATACCAAAGCTTTTTTAGAGTACACTTTGGTAGTTTTCTTTGCCTGAGAGAGACTTCAAAAATCTTGAAAAGATTGATAGCCAGGTCAATGACTTACTGGTTTCAAAGTCCGTGGTTACAATTGCATAGTTTCGGTGGCAAAACTAATTTGGGTTGTCAGAATGTAATTTTTTTTTCCATTTGTTATCGAGCATCAGCTGATAAGGAAAGAGCTTGAAGCTGTCCTCCACATTTAAGATAACAGCAAAAATAACAGGCACTTAGCGTTACCATACTAGGGGCGTGGCAGTTCTCTCTCGTTCGCTTCGCTCCTTTCTCTCTCACGATAAACTCAATGGGGTTGTCTATTTTTAACCTCCTGTTCTTTCCTTTTGGCAGAGTAATCAGTGTGAGCTGAGCTCTTTCCCTGAATGAATCCAAGTAAGCCTGGTGGTTGCGTTCTGAAATGACCAGCAGACAAGCAACTGTCCAGAGGCTGCCCAAAGTATAAACTGTGGTTCTAAAGTACCATGTCCAGCCAAGAAAGTCCTAGTGTGGAGCTTTCTACGACGACAGTCAGTTCAGTTGCTGTGCAGGCTGGGGACTCCAAAATCGTTATAGCTGTCATAAAGGTAAGCTAACAACTTCCTTTTTTCTGTGCGGCTGTAGGCTTCTAGCTGTGTGTTGAAAATCCTAAAGAAAATTCTATGCAATCGGCAGGACACAGCATAGAGAAGACAACGCGGAAAGCACTGTTACTGCTTTCTTAAATTGGCTACTAAGAGGAACCTCTGCAAGTTTCAGCAGTTACCAGAGATTCTCTTTCCTTTCAGTCAGCCAGAAAGCATCTACAGCTGCTTGATTTAAAAAAAAAAAAAAAGAAAAGAAAAGAAAGATAAAGAAAACTTCTAGCGTATACTATTAATTTGGTCTTTAAAAGCAAGGCATTGGTAATTGGAAGCTCATGATTGCCTGACTAAAGAGTCCAATGGACCTGTGAAATGCTCGTGATTTTTGAGAGTGGATGTGATGGAGGTGGGAGGAGGCAGGTCCTGACAGACATGGGGAGGGCACCGCTTTAAGCATGATGGAACTCAGAAAACACCTAAGGAAAGGGCTCCGATATGTGCCCTTTGCAACACTGGTTTTGACATGGTAAAGACACTGCTAAATCCTTGTTCAGTAATGAAGACCCTGCAGGGAAAGGTACAAAAGGTTTGTGTCAAATTTGTTCTTAACAGCAGGAAGTAGAAGCCACTTAGGGTTTACGATTACTGCATGTTTTATGACAAGCCATTTGCCCATTTGCAAAGATGACCACACATCTTTGGGTTGAAGAAGACATCCATGATTTTATTCTCCATGGAAATGCCCTGCAAAACAAAACAAAACAAAACAAACAAACAAAAAAAAACCTTTCAAGCACTAGACTTGGGCTTTAGATGATATTCCACCTAAATAATTCAGTGTTTAATGAAGGGAAAGCTGGCAAACAAGCTGATGGTCACAAACCAGTTACTTTCAGGTCCCCACCAGGCTTAATTGAATGACTTTTCTGGCCTTTTCTTAGAGCATGGACAGCAAGCATGTTTACTTAATTGCTGTGAGTTTTATGGTAATGTGAAAATTCATACCAGGAAAACAGCACTTGATATTGAGCAAAACGATTCACTATAGAAGGACAGAATGGAAAGTGCTCCTACCGAGGCAGATTTTCTGGTGTTGTGATACTCATCTCCCACAGGAACCAGGCCTCTGCTGACTTCCTCACCCTCCCATCTTTTCAGAGTCCCGGAGTGGAGATGAGAAGAAGCCTGGCGCAGAAGTGGTGCGAACAGACCACTTGCACAGGATTAATGATACTTTGAGTTAACTGCAGATTTCAGCAATGAGGGAAAAGAGGCAAACTCACTATTTTTCAAAAAGTTAACTTTTCATTTCCTCAAATATGAAACATTCTTGGAGCAGGATGAGGAATAATATTAGAGGATAAATTACAGAAGAATCAGAGGTAGCTTGCACACAAAAAAATTACACTGGAAATTACACTGGAAAATTACATGGGAAACTCTTATTTTAACTGAATTGTGTTTCTAAGAATGTTCCCCCACTACCCTCTCCTCAGCTCTCTTACCTTACTGCCATCTCCATACAAAACACACCCCAAGCAATTCAGAGTAGAAAGTCCGTCTTAATGGAATAGGAGTGCCTGTGTGTGATTTATAGTGACTTTCCAAACTGTCTCAGGGGACTGAATATCTTCTAAAATAGAAACACGTTTTTCTAATTTCTCTTTAGTAATTCATGTATCTACATGCACATGCCTGTTAGTGGTTCCTTTTGCTTAATGAGTTGTTGCTTCTTAGAAAAGCAATTCCTCAGGAAATGCAATGACAAATTATGTCTTAGAGCGGTGTAAATCTTGTGTGGAAAGCAAGTTGACTGTGCTCAAATGGCAGTTGTCACAGGCATCTAATTTTGTTAATATTTTCCTACATGCTTTAATGAATATTCAACAACTAAGGTTGGAAAACAGTATATTTTACCTTTGAAATAAGATAAAAATCAATTCCTTCATCTGATATTTATTATTTTCAGCTAAACCAGCAAGGCCAATGTAAAGACACTTATCAAGCTAAACTGCATTTACAAGAACTTTCCTCTATGGTGAAATTTGCATCCTACTTGCCCAAGTAGAATTTCACTGTTTTTATTGAGTTCAGTTTTATGAGTGAGAGAAGATACAATTGTGTAAATTATTCTGTAACTTTATAATATTCAGTAATATGTAATCCATCATATGTTTTCCTCATTTGGGAATTTTTAACTCAAATCCTATATGCCATGAGAGAATAATTTATCCTAAGAATAAAAAATAAAAGGCAGGGCATGGATTTATATTAGATCTGCTGTTTCAATTGAAGTAAACCCCATATCTATGGAAAGAATGGACAAAATAGAAAATAGAAAAAAGTGTTTACTGTATAACTGGAAATTTTAAAGATATATTAAAAATGAGAAGAGTGAAGAGGAAGGAGCAAGAGGAACTAAAAGTGCACTTAATTTAATTTTTATTTTTAGTGTGGCAAATGGGTACAACTTCAACTGGCTGAATCACAGCCCAATCTTCTAGAAATTGGCAGCAGTCAAGATGAAACCAAAAAACTTCTTCATGATCATGAACTTCTTTTGGCCAAGCTCAAGGTAAGATACTAAGATGTGAAGCAAAAACAAAATTAAAGAGAAATTAAAAAACTATTTCTTATACTTCTTGATTCCTCTGCTGTTACTGGCCTAGTGCCACTTTAATATGGTACCAGGTAGATAATGGAAAAATCAGTAGTTATTTACGCACAAACAGCATCAGAGAGAAGTAACAAGATTTAAAATTTTCCCTAATGTGATAGAAAATATGGAATGATAATATTTTCACTGTGGAGAAAAAAGTAATTTTTTTTTCCTGGCTGCCTCAGTGGAAAAAAAAAAACTCCATCATTTTTTCATTTCATGCATTACACCATCAAGTCACAAAAACAGATCCACAATTTCTATTGTTAATGATACCTGCTGGCAAAAATAATTTAGAAGACTTTTCCCCCTGTTGGACTATTGAAAATATCTGATTCCGTGCTTAGTATTAAGAGTTCTTGAAACCAAATAATACTTTTAGTAAAACCAGACATACTATTTTATATATGTTGAGAGTATTTAGTTAGAAATCTAAAAGTAACATTGGTTTGAGGTTGCCAGATAAAGGCCAGATAGGATCAGAGCCAGCTGCATAATTTGTGAGACCCAGGGCAAATAAAAATTTGGAGCTTTTTGTTCAAAAAGCAGGGAAAGGCATTTTCTTGACCTGTCATGTTGTATTTTATTCACTACTTAATGTCTAGCTCCTTCATGTGTAAGATGAGTGCAGACCCTCACAGGTACATGGCCTCACCCATGACTCAGTGCAAAGGACTGGGTTTGTCCCCACCCTTCTTAAGTTTCACCTTGGCCACAGCTCCGGCTATAGGAGGTGGCAACAGTCACTGAGTGGAGCTGAGGAGCAGACAGGACAGCCGACTCTATCTCCAGGAGATAGGACTGCATGTCTGATGAGGTGCCAAGCCCTCAGAACTTGCTCTGTTGTCCCATTGGACTTAATTTACAAAACACAAATGTAAAGAATTTCAACACAGGAACAGATACAGCATTAAACCCTAAATGGTGTTCCATTCTGAGGAACCTCTGAGGGAGCCAGCCCTGTGAGTAATAACCTCATAAACAAATGAAATATCTTTACTAAAATCAAAGAAGTTCAAAGAGGTTTAATGAGGATTCAGAGGACTGCAAAGACTAGGATGCTCTACATTTTTAGTACTTTAATATTACTGTTTTCTTTGTTACATCTAGGCTGAAATTCATACTTGCTTTCTAAATTTAGAAGCAGATTTGATCTGCATCTGATATATAGACAGTGGTTTTCTGCTTGAACAGTGGTAAAAGTAATTGAGTAAATGAAACCAAGAAGATGAAGAAAGAATTAGTACAAAGACGAAGGCCCTTAGAATGCAGAATTTATTCCCGTTTGACAACTCCTTACTCTGGGATTTAAGTTGTCTTGAAAGGCAGAAATCCCTAGTTATTATTAAGTCTTTTGTTATGTAGGAAAACCCCATTATGATATGGAAGATCAATGAACCAGGAATTAAAACACCTATTGTTTAGCTCTACTTATGTCACAAACTAGTGTGATTTGGCTAACAACTCAAGGTCTTCCTGCTACACAAAAAGTTGTGTAAACTTGTCGTGAATCCCCAATTCCATGAACTGTAGAAACACAATACTTACTTGAAGTTTCTGACCATTTCCAGAAGTTTGCTTTCTCATGATCTCTTGTGTCCCCAGCTCCTTTGTATATACCAGCCAACTGTTTCTGCTGAAGCTAACCTGGGCTTGAAACCACATATTTTCCCCAGTTCCTGCTAGTAATTCATGCCCAGCCAGCATTTCCCAGTCCACTGATAAATTGTGGGTAGTGGTGGGTGAGCTCAGCTCAGTTTGGAACTCTCAGGCTACCTCACTTCTCCCTTCATCCCTACTCCATCCAGGACTACAGAAGGGAAATGCCTTCTTAAGTGCAGCAATTCAGCTCCTGCCTTCTACCCTGTGCTCAAATGTGCATACCTAAATCCATCTCATAGCTCAGCTAGAAAAGGGTTTTTCTGTAGTATAGTTTGAAGTTGGGTAGAGTGATGCCTCCAGCATCATTCTTTTGCTTAGGATTGCCTTGGCTATTTGGGCTCTTCTTTGGTTTCATATGAATTTTAAAAGTTTTTTTTCTAATACTGTGAAGAATGTCAATGGTAGTTTAATGGGAATAGTATTGAATCTATAAATTGCTTTGGGCAGTATGGCCATTTTCACGATATTGATTCTTCCTATCCATGAGCATGGAATGTTCTTCTATTTGTTTGTGTCATCTCTGATTTCTTCAAGCAGTGGTTTGCAGTTCCCCTAAAAGAAGTCCTTCACTTTTCTTGTTAGTTGTATTCCTAGGTATTTTATTCTTTTTGTGGCAGTTGTGAATGGGAGTTCATTTGTGATTTGGCTCTCGGCTTGCCTGATGTTGGTGTATAGGAATGCCAGCGATTTTTGCACATTGATTTTGTATCCTGAGACTTTGCTGAAGTAGCTTGTTAGCTTCAGAAGCTTTTGGTCTGAGATGATGGGATTTTTCCTGTATCTTTAGATGTAGGATCATGTCATCTGCAAAGCTAGTTTTACTTCCTCTCTTCCTATTTGAATGTTCTTCATTTGTTTCTCTTGCCTGATTGCCCTGGCCACAACTTCCAATACTATGTTGAATAGGCTTCCTTGTCTTGTACTGGTGTGCAAGGGGAGTGCTTCCAGCTTCTGCCCATTCAATATAATATTGGCTGTGGGTTTGTCATATATGACTCTTGTTATTTTGAAGCATGTTCCTTCAATACCTAGTTTATTCAGAGTTTTTAACATGAAGGAATGTTGAATTTTATCAAAGGCCTTTTGTGTGTCTATTGAGATTATCATGTGGTTTTTGTCTTTAGTTCTGTTTACATAATGAATCACATTTATTGATTTGCATATGGGGAATGAAGCCTATTGATTGTGGTGGATAAGCTTTTTGATGTGCTGCTGGATTTGGTTTGCTAGTATTTTGTTGAAGATTTTTGCATTGATGTTCATCAAGGCCTGAAGTTTTCTTTTTTGTTGTATCTCTGCCAGATTTTGGCATAAGGACAAGTTAGGAGTCCCTCCTCCTCAATTTTTGGAATAGTTTCAGTAGGAATGGTACCAGCTCTTCTTTATACCTCTGATAGAAGTCAACTGTAAGTCCATCTGGTCCTGGGCTTTTTTTGGTTGGCAGGCTATTTATTACTGCCTCAATTTCAGAACTCATTATTGATCTATTCAAGGATTCAATTTCTTCCTGGTTCAGTCTTGGGAGGGTGCATGTGTCCAGGAATTTATTCATTTTTTTCTAGATTTTCTAGTTTATGTGCATAGAGGTGTTTATAGTATTCTCTGATGATTGTTTGTATTTCTGTTGGGTCAGTGGTAATAACCCCCTTATTTCAAATTGTGTTTATTTGATGCTTCTCTCTTTTCTTCTTTATTAGTCTTGCTAGTGGCCTATCTATTGTATTAATTGTTTTCAAAAAACTAGCTTTTTGGATTCATTGATTTTTTGAAAGTTTTTTTGTGTCTCTATCTCTTTCAGTTCAGCTCTGATCTTGGTTATTTCTTGTCTTCTGTCAGCTTAAGTGGTTTGTTGTTCTTGGGTCTTTCTTTTAGTTATGATGTTAGGTTGTTAACTTGAGATTTTTCTAGCTTTTTGATGAGGGCATTTTAGTGCTATAAATTTCTCTTTTCATACTGCTTTAGCTGCATCCCAGAGATTCTGGTACATTGTATCTTTGTTCTCATTAGTTTCAAAGAACTTACTAGGCTGGGCACAGTGGTTCATGCCTGTCATCCCAGTGCTTTGGCAGGCCAAGGTGGGTGGATCACCTGAGGTCAGGAGTTTGAGACCAGCCTGGCTAACATGGTGAAACCTTGTCTCTACTAAAAATACAAAAATTAGGCAGGCGTAATGGTGTGCAACTGTAATCCCAGCCACTTGGGAGGCTGAGGCAGGAGAATTTATTGAACCCAGGAGGCAGAGGTTGCAGTAAGCTGAGATCGCGCCATTGCGCTCCAGCCTGGGTCACAGAGCAAGACTCTGTCTTTAAAAAAAAAAAAAAAAAAAAAAAAAAAGAACTTCTTGATTTCTGCCTTAGTTTCATTATTTGACCAAGAGTCATCCTGGGGCACATTATTCAATTTTCATTTAGTTGTATGATTTTGAGTGAATTTCTTAATCTCAACTTCTAATTCTAATTTGATTGTACTATTGCCTGAGAGACTGTTATGATTTCAGTTCTTTTGCATTGGCTGAGGAATCTTTTACTTCTGATTATGTGATCAATTTTAAAGTAAGTGCCATGTGGCGATGAGAATAATGTATGTTCTGTTGTTTTGGTGTGGACGGTTCTGTATATAACTATCAGGTCCACAGTTAAAGTCTGGTGTGGTGTTAAAGTCTACCACTATTATTGTGTGGGGGTCTAAGTCTCTTTGAAGTTCTCTAAGAACTTGCTTTATGAATCTGGGTTCTCCTGTATTGGGTACATATATATTTAGGATATTCAGCTCTTCTTGTTGAATTGAACTTTTTACCTTTATGCAATGCTCTTCTTTGTCTTTTTAAGTCTTTGTTGGTTTACAGTCTCTTTTGTCAGAAACTTGGAATGCAAATCTTAATTTTTCTGTTTTCTATTTGCTTGGTAAATTTTCCTCCATCCCTGTATTTTGAGCCTATGTGAGTCTTTGCATGTGAGATGATCTCTTGAAGACAGCATACCAATGGGTCTTGGTTCTTTATCCCACTTGCCATTCTGTGTCTTTTAAGTGGGCGTTTCCATTTACATTTAAGGTTAGTATTGTTATGTGTAGATTTAATCTTGTCATCATGGTGCTAGCTGGTTATTTGGCCAAAAAACCCCACAACCAACCCCATTAAATAATAGGCAAAGGACATGAACAGACACTTCTCAAAAGAAGACATACATACAGCCGACAAACATTAAAAAAAAGCTCAAAATCACTGATCAATAGAGAAATGTAAATCAAAACCA